TGGGTGGTAGGTGGGGGCCGGCAAAGGGCGCAGGGGAGGCAGGGGAGAGGTGTGGGCGCTCGAAGGCGGCAGCAGCGGCGGCACGTGCGCGTGAGCGGGCAGGGCAGAAGGGGATGGAGCGGGGCGAAGCGTGGAGCGCGTGGCCGCGCGCCGTCGCCGCCGCCCGCACAACCCACGCACGCGCACAGCACGCCGCATAACGCGCCGCACCCGGCGCCGCTGCGCCCGCACCCGCACCCACCGTGCGCAGATGCGTCCCACGTTTGTGTCCACGGGAAACTCCTTCTTGCCCAGGCACAGCAGCATGATGCAGCCCACGCTCTTGCGGCCCAGCCCTGCACGGCGGGCAGGCGGGAGGAGGCGGAGGGTGCGGCAGGTCAAGGGGGGGAGGGTTGAGGGCAGGCGGTGCGGGGCCTGAGGCAACACAGCAATGGCCATACGCAGCGGCACCACAGCAGCACCACGCCGTGCAGTCCCGCCCCACTTCACCGTTGATGTTCATCAGGTAATTGCGGGCTACCTCATCGGGAGCATCCCGCAACCACTCCAGAGACAGCAGCTGTGCGGGCGCCGCCTCCTCGCCGCCGCCCACGCCGCCGCCCCCTCCCGCCGCCGGTGCCACAGCAGCTGGCGGCCGCGCCGCCGCCGCCGCCCCCTCCCCCCGCTCCTCCTCATATGCCAGGGTGATGTGGCGGCGGCGCGGGCTGCCGCTGCCGTTGCCGCCGCCGCTGCCGCGGATGCCGTCCCACGCCGCCGTTGCCGCCACGCCCGCGCACGCCTCAAACGCGTCGCTGGCGGCCGCAGCGTCCAGCATGGCGTCCAGCACCGCGCCCACGCCCGCCTCAGCCTCCTTGTCAGCGGCACGCCGCTGCTTGCGCAGGCGGGCCAGGTTGTGGAGGCGGATCGAGTTGAGGAACTCGATGATCTGTACCGCCAGCCTGCGGTACAGATTGGTACGGGAAGCGCGGGTGTGCAGAGCAGGTGTGTGCAGCTCGGGCGCGTGGTACGGGTGATCATGCAATACAGGGGGAAGCACGAGCAGGGCGGCACGAATGGCCAGCCTCGCAGCACCTGTGCTGCATGCCACGGCACTTGATGGCGTCAGACAGCGCCTCGTGGCTGGAGGTGCGCACCGCCTCCCAGTCCACGCTGTCCTCGCACCCACCCCACCCGCCGTCGCCGCCATCCCCGCCGCCGCCGGCGTCGGCAGCGCCGCCCTGCGCCTGCCGGCGGCGGCGTGGCGGCGGGAAGCGGCTGGCCAGCTCCATGTAGGCTCGGCTGGACAGGTGGTCCGCCACATTCTAAGGGGTGAGGAGGGGCGGGGAGGAGGAGGGCGGGAGCAGGGCGGGTGGAGGGCAGGCGGGGGCAAACGAGCGCCTGCCGGAAAGGATGAGAGTGCGAGAGCGAGAGTGCGAGAGTGAGGGCGAGAGTGAGGGCGAGAGAGAGAGAAAGCAAGCAAGGCAAGGCAGGGCAAGGAGGCAGCAGCGCGGGAGGCACAGCACACCCCGAGCAGCAGCGGCGCCACCACAGGCCACAGAGCACCCACCCCCACCCCCCAGCAGCAGCGGCAGCAGCCACCCCCAGGCCCAGCGGCCATGCCTGCGTGAGGAAGACGCCCACCACAGAGTCCAGCACGCTGCCGCCCCAGTTGAAGGTGAGGCGGCGGTCGCCCAGCACGCCCCTGCGCGCAGCGCGCACAGCGGGGCGGGCGGTTTGGCGCGGTGGATGGCGAGGGGCCGCATGCCGCCAGCGCAGAACAGCGCCACACGCAGCCAGCCCGCGCAGGCCGCCCCCTCCCGCCTCCTGACGCATGCATGCACGCGCATCCCTCCCTTTCTCTCATTCTCTGACACACATACACACGCACACACGCACACACACACAGACACACAGACACAGACACACACACACACACACACACACACACACACACACACACACACACACACACACACACACACACACACACACGCGCACCTCATGACGTGCTGGAAGGCTGCCACCCTGCGCGTCCACAGCAGCGCCTCGTTGGCGCCGTACAGAATCATGGTGAGCTGGCCCTCGCGCATGATGCGGGCGCGCTTCCCTGCAGGGAGTGGGCGGGGGTGGGGAGAGGGAGAAGGCGGAGAGAGGCCGGGGTGGAGGGGCGCGGGAAAGAAGAGGGCCGGCGGGTGCGGGCGCTGAGCGCGGCGGCAAGCGAGAGGGGTGCAGGCAGCGGGGCAGCGGTGTGGGCAGCAGCTGGTGGGCAGGTGGTGGGCAGGTGGTGGTGGGCAGGTGGGGCGCAGCTGGTGGCCAAGGCAGGAGCCGGAACAGTGCAGGCGACGCGCCAGCATGGCGCAGCACTCACTCCGGGGCGCCCTCCAGCCGCGCTGCACGTCGTCGGCCCCGCCGCCCTCGCCGCGCCCCGCGGGCAGCGGCATGGGCGGCGGCGGCGCGCTGCCCGGCGCCGCCAGCCCGGCCAGCACGGCGGGCAGGCCGGCGTGGCCCAGCGTGGCGGGCAGCACGTCGGCTGCAGACCAGAGGGGAAGCTGGAAGAGGGTGGGCGGGCCTGCCGCCGGCTGGTGGCTGCTGCTGCCCGGTGCGCCGCCCGCGCCCGCGCCAGCGCTGTAAAGAGGGCCCAGCGGGTGAGCAGCCCCGGGTGCAGAGGGGGTCCAGGGCGGCGAGGCCTGGGGGAGGACTTGGAGGGCGATGGGCGGGGCCTGGAGGCCGGCGCTGCCGGGAGCGCCCCAGGTGCCAAGGGTGCCGCCGCCGCCGCTGCTGCCGCCGGCTGACCAGTACGGGATGAGCAGGGCGGGCAGCGAGGGCCCCTGGTGACCGGCGCCGCCAGCAGAGCCGCTTGCATCCTGCTGCCCCGGCTGGAAGGCGCTCGCCGGGCGCTGCTGTGCAGGCGTGATGGGGCTGAGAAGACCGCTCGCGGCGCCGGCCAACGGGGCTGCCGCCGACGCAGCGGCGCCGCCGCTCGACCATGCCGGCGTGATCAGGCTGGCCGGTGCAGCTTCAGGCTGTGGCTGCGGCGACGCAAAGGGCTGCGGCTGCCTGGCGCTGCCGAGGGGGGTGCCGCCAGGCTGGTTGTGAGCGGCCGCCGTCTGCGTGGCGGCCCGCACAGCGGCGAGCACGTGGAGCAGTGCCGCTTGCCGGGCGGCCTCCGCGTCGGCTGGGACCGCCGCATTCTGCCCCTGCGCCACGCTCTGCTGGGCAGAAGGGCCTCCGGCATGGCCATGCTGCATTGCAGATGCGAAGTGATCGGCAGCGTGGTCGTCACGGGGTGCCGCTACCTAATGCTGCATACAGTTGATGAATCGGTAGGATATCTCGGTGCCGCCAGGGTTGTGTGCAGTAGCGAGACGTCCGTCGCGACGCCTGCTGCAGGCAGCCACCGTATCGGGGAATACAAATCGGGCGATCTGTGATTTGTCCATCCACACTGGGAGCGCTGCAAGCACGCCAACGGGCCAACAGAGCCCTGCTCCCGTGGCGCTCGTGACCGAATGGCTGGAGAAGCGCAACTGGCCGCTCCAGGGATGCACAGAAAGGCAGTAGGATCGATGGAGACGCCTGGCTAGCTGCGCCATACGCAGCCGGCGGGGGCCTGGCGTCGGGCGGCGACGGGCGGGAGGCGGCAACAACACAACAAGGGCTGCATGCAGCTCAGCCGATTGCACAGAAACAGTGGGAGATCGCCGTCAGATACATCCACCCATCATTTGGAAATGGGACGGTTGGGATGCCTCTGATGCTAGGCCAGCGCGGTTAATCGCGGCGCTCGGCGCCCGCGGTTGGCGGCGGCAGACGGGCGGGCGGGAGGCAGCACCAACGGTGGGTTCCAGGAAGTCAACGTGCTGGCTGGCTGCACTCACGGCATACTTCTTGTGCAGCATAGATAGTTTTTGCAAAAGCCATGGATTTCCAGCATTGGACTTGCCCTGCGCTGCCGCCGCCGCCTGCTGCTCGAGCACTGGGCTGTCGCCGCCTTGCTTGGCACACCAGCCCTCCTCTGCTGGGCCGGTTGCCTGCCGTGTCATGCCCTCGTTCCTCATGACACCCTCGCCTAGTGTTTGACCGCCATTTTAGAAAGAAAGCCTCCGAGCTACTGAAGTTGCCCTCGTTCGCAGTCCAGCCTCTCTCTATCAGCAGGAGCCCCTGCCCTGCTGTCCACAGGACGATAGGGCTTGGCTGGAGGCCGCTGGGATGGCTCCCAAGCGGAAGCAGCTCGAGGGCGAGGCGGAGGAGCAGAATGAGCAGCTCAGGGGCAACCAGGCGAGCGAGGTGGTGCTGGTGGGGGGCATGTCCTGCTCCACAGCTGCCCTGCGCGCCATCCGCAAGCCCTTCAAGGTGCGCCCGCGGCGGCGGCGACGGCGGCCGCCGCGCATGGTCTGCAACCGGCCTGCCGCCTGTGCCAGCACGTGACGCTGGGTGCTGGGCAGCTTTGCGCCAAACCTGCGCCCATGCTTGGATCCAAGGTTGACTTGCCACCCGCACGCCCGCCGCCCTGTAAGCCCCACCCCGCCGCCCCCTGCCACAGCCTCCCATGCCCTCCCGCCCCGACGCCAACGGACGCAACGTCAAGGTGGGCATCGACTTCAGCCGCCTGGCGCTGCTGGGACCGGGCGGGTTGCTGCAGCAGGTGACGCGGGAGGTCAAGATCGGGCGGCGGCTGGGCGAGGGGCTGGCAGACGACACAGAGGCGCCGGATGTGGTGCTGTTTGACCCGGGAGAGTACCCAGGCAAGGGCCAGAGGAGAGAAAGAAAGGCTGCCGCTCTGCAGAAGCGCTCCAGGGCCCGCGCTGCGCCAGCGGGGAGCACGCAGCGGGCCGGGCAGGTCCTTGCACACGTGGAGGGCCTCGCCCATCGCTGGCGCCTGCGCCGGCCTCCCCTGGACTGACCGCCTCCCGCCATGCCCGCGCCGTGCCCGCGCCCGCAGACCTGCCGCCGCCGGGCGAGGGGCAGCCGGCGTACACGCGGGTGCTGGTGGACAAGTTCATCGCCGGCAAGCTGCGCCCGCACCAAGTGGAGGGGGTGAGGCCCGCGCCCTGGGAGCGAGGCCCACCTGCCGGCCCTGCAGGGCGGGTGCCCCCGTGCGCATGTGCCACAGCGGCTCTGGGACTCTGGGGACTCGCAGCGCCCGTCCTACCGGGCATGCCAGCCAGCCAGCCAGCCAGCAGCGGCATTGTCGGCGCAGCCTGTCCCAGGCATGCGCCTGTGGCCGGAGGTGCTGCCGCCAGGCGCGCCGCCGCCGCCTCCACTCTTGTGCAGGTGCAGTTCATGTTCAAGTGCCTGGCTGGGCTGAAGGACCCGGCGTTTCGCGGGTGCATCCAGGTGGGGGCGCCAGGCAGGCAGGCATCATTCTGCAGGCGGGCGGCCTTGCTGAGCTGGCGGCTGGCTCGAGGCGGCGTGGCGTGCGCGCTGCCGCTGCCCGCCTAGCCGTCCCGCCATACCCTTCCGTCGGCCCATGGAAGCCCCGGCCCAGCTGTCGCCACCTGTCGCCACCTGGCATGCCCGCCGCCGCCGCCTGCTGCCCCTGCCCTGCAGTCTGACAGCATGGGCCTGGGCAAGACC